TGGCCATGTAACTTCACCTAAAGCAGACGATAACCGAACGGATTAGATTCCTTCCTTAAATGCTGGAACTCGCTTAGTTGCTCAAAAATTTATCCGTCTTTTATGTTAAAACAAATGTTCATTATCGTTTACACAAAAGCCTTGACTGTAGTAAAATCCAACCCACACCTTCGCATTCAATTTCTACAAGACTCACGTAAATATTACTATCCCATTTATGGAGAGACCTCCAAATTAAGTTTTTTGAGCCAATAGTTAAAAATGGCAGAGTATTTACCAACGACAATGAGAAAGAAGTAAGTATTACAAGAGTGTAGTTAGGTAAGACATTACTGTCATGGTGCAGTGGTTGGCACTCCTGTTTCTTCAGCCCCATTAAATTGAAATGCCGTAACAGAGATCAAGCGCGCTTCTCATTCCACTGAATTCCATATACACACTATTTCCTATGTTCGACACTGCACTGTTAGAGGCGTTACATGAAGCATGAAAGAGGCATGCAAATGAACTCCAACGCGGGGAAGGACGAACATTTAGTGTTGTAACCCAAAACACCAAAATTACAAGCAACGTTTCAATCTGTATTAACGACTTTATACATTACTAAGTCTACCAGAGCCTCTGGCTCTAAATACAAAAATTTCGTAATCACCATTACACCCTCCCCCAAATTAATAAGTCTTAATTCAATCGAGAACATAAAATCGAACTGAACAGTGTTTCAACGTAATCGCGGGAAAGGCTACTCTTTTCGACTGTTTATAACCACGCCTCGGTTGCATTGTAGAATCTTCTGAAATCTCGTTCTTCCCAAGGAGATGATGACCACATTCCCAGACATTAGTTACCAATTTTAACACAACAGAAACGACAACTCGACCCTCCCACAAATGAAATACTCAAGGTCACTGAGAACGGGATTCCCCATAAATGGAGCGACCACTCTTGCAACCCCTGCATTTGAAAACACAAAACTCATTTCGGGCCAATTTAAAATTATGATGACTGACATAAGCTACGGTTATATTATTGGCAAGAAACTGAATTATCCAGCACGTGAGGCAGTTTTGAGACATCTTCCGGTCTTTCATCAGGTAAGAGATACTCAGACGTCAACAGGCAACTCTAACGCGCCCTCGTAAAACCGTTTTTGAAAACGTCCCGCTGCCACCATCGCCTGCTTTCCTGGACTGGCAAATTTATTATGGTCCAGATGAATTTATAAATTAATGATTTCCATACGTTTACTCAATCAACCCATTTCATTAACTTCCTGCGATAACATAAAATCAATGCAATGGAATATGTTACGTTACAATATTTGTCACTCTAACCAGGCAAAATGGTGTGCAGAGACATTTGTCAATTAGTTCAATTAGCCGGCGCCAGCCAACCGGATGATCAAAACTGTTCAGCTAGACAAAAGAAATGCAACACTAGTAATGAGGAAAGTGCCCCATACAAACGAGAAATCGTGCAAATGAAAGTTACCGATGCATATTTTATCTTCTGTACAAATTGTAGGACGAACATAATTTTGAGAAATCTAAAAAAGACAGACCTGTATTTCATGCAGAGAACGTACACGGACCAAAATAACTTCAGCAATATTTATATCTCCAACATCAAATTTAATATATCGGTTCGGGGTTTGAGAAATCAACACGATAAACGGGTAATGCCCTCAATCAATTGTACGTTCATTTTAGTTCACCGACTGATAATACACTCATGACGACGACGGGAAGTCTAGAGAAGTTCTGTACCTGAATTAACTTCCTATTCGCAATGTCTGGAACGCAAATAACTGTTCTGATAGAGATGAACCATACAAACATTCCAATGTTTGCTCGTCGCCATGTTAACACTGTAAACTAGCACAGTACGTGCATCATAAAATGGAATCTCCTCACGTATATCTGGCACGCTGTCTTCCTCGAGTTCACACAGCCCCAGCAAACCACGAGGTCGCTCGGAGGACATTCTGAACCTTTACATCGTGACGTTATGTGATAACGGTGTGACACTGTTAAGAAGGGCCGGTTACATTAGCAGTAACGCTATTTCGCCTAACATGCCCTGTTCCAATCTCCTGGCTAAAGTACCGGCTAATTTAGAGGCTATCTTGGATTGTTTTAATGAATCCTCCCAGCTGAACACAAGGATAGTTGATAACATTTCGTTGAATAATTGGATCTAACTTCTGGTAGGACCTCACCTGGAAATCATATCAATTAGGTTATGGTCTCTAATGGAGGTGATTAGAAATGTAAAGAACCTACAGAAGTTTGCTGTGCGACGAAAGGACAAAAATTAAGCCGGATATCATAAAAGAGGCTGTGAGATGGCTAACTGGATGGGAAAACTGTGCCCGGTGATGGGTTTTTGTATTAGTGGCTCTGAACCTTCATCATAACTGTTTCTGTCGCCGTTATCAAATTACATGCAAGGTCAAATAAAAATCCTACAACGTTGCAACACAAAAAACTGAGCCCATTCGAGGGGAGACAGCTCAGAACTCGCAGCGTAGCGAAGCTACCAATGTTAACTTAGTGCCGTGCGTTAAGGGGGTAAGTAGTGGGGGGAAGGTTGCCCGTGGCCCTGAAGCATCAATTTGGTGATACCTACTATAGCAGGCTATATCGGATGAAATTTGTGGTGGGGGAACCGTGCAAGGGGACAAACCCGTGAACCCAGCTTTAATTACGGCACTGCAACCACAATTCCAGACATTTTCTCCCATGTCCAATGCCTGAAACACTTAGAAGTATTCAACAAACATAGGCTCTTCCAAACGTTTGTCTTGGACACTTTAATCCAGATACTTAAAACTACATCATGCAGAGCTAGAAACACATGAAACATAAGTGGAAAATTACGTTACGCACGTTCAAGACTGGGCATGCGCAATAAGCAAAGGCTGTATGTGATGGCATCTGAAAAGTTATTTCAAATGTTCACACTGCCACTATCAGAATAATTCAAGGAAAGACGTGTGTCATGAGTCACTCAACCGCATTCCACTGCAGCAGGTAGTGACTATGACATGATGATGTAAGCTGATCGTGTTGAAATCGGGCTGTGTGCAGCGGTTACCCTGACTGCATAATTACCATCGGGCACAGAAAATGATAAACCGCGCTTAATCATCACTCGATGAAGATATTAAAGAGCGGACGTCACCATTTTATCCACGATATCTTTTAACCTCTGCACTAAACGGAGATGGAGCTTCACACTCCGACCTCTTTAACAACGAGAAAAGAAACCGATGGCCAAATTGGACAGGATGCTGGGTGGGTCTTCAGCAGGCCTATACACACAGGGCTCTTGCCAAAGAACTCAGGTCGCCCAGACCGTCGTTCATTGTAGAGCTGCAGTGGCAACAGACAGGTACAGAGGTTTGGAGGAAAATCATGACCACCTCTGGACATCAGATTTTACGACAGCTTCGAGCCAGGGACATTCAGAACAAAAGTATTTGGCTAAGCACTGCACAACGCGTTATCACTGGCATCAGAACAAGTCAGTATTACATATAAATAAATACATTTTCAGCTCAAATCGCTTGTTTTTGGAACCAATTAGTGTTTGTGTTGGAAGTACATAGTTCAAAGAGCTTGCCTGGCTCTACGATATATATAAAGAACTCTGGCGGAAACAGCCACCAGTTGTTTACTGGAAACTGGTGACAAATACCCGACACTTAATCACATGATAAAAAGCGCGACTGACTAGCACGGGGGACAGACCCATAATGCCTTGCGTTGTCTTTGGAAACAAGGCAGATGTATGGAAGACATATGCAGCTAAACATTATGTTGTGATTTGTATGGAAATCCAAGTAGCGGTGACCTCTTTTATGCGCTTTCGTACACAGCGTATAAAATTGACGCACGAGAAGGTCGCGACGGACTGGCTGTCTGTCCGATCCCAAGTTTCGTCTTCGAAAGTACTCAACGGGCGCCGAACAAATTTTACTGCGGGAGGTGAGCAATAACAACTGTCGGATGCGTAACTTTTGACTTCATAGGTCTAAAATAACCCATACTTTACACGCAATTTAAACCATCATACTGCATACAACACCGTATAAAACTGTAAATAGTATTATTTACGTCAACCTTTACTGCATCATACTGCACCACACGTTTCGACCTTCTCTGGTCATCTTCTGTAGCACATCTTACATATGTACATGTATACCCATTTACAAATCACACTCTGCAATTGCCTAATGTAATTTCGTACCTATACTTACCATTGTATAATGTAAGATGTGCACCATAAGATGACCTACGCAATACATCATGATACAATAAAAGATCGTGCAGACGAAAATAATATTTGCAGCTGTAATCATGAAACCAGGATGTAAATCATAAAAATATGACCTCCTCCTCTGGCATTTTCACCGATAGTAAAGAGTGACAAACCAGCAATTCTAAAACTGATTCTTGCAGAGTTTGTATTTCTGACAGTCAGTTTCATTCCAGGAACAATATCCACATCTCTGCGAACACTAGTGTCGTCCAAAAGCCACCACTCTGCCTCGGAAAAAACATCATAACCCTACCAATCACCACAGCCCACTATCCTGTACTGCAGAGCACTTTTTTTTTTTTTCAAACAATGGTCCATGGACCCAGGGGGTCTGCAATGTTGGAAGGTTTAATGCTTTAATCACTTTACTTCCACACTTGAGTGAAAAACACGACAAAAGAAAGTATTCCTTTCCATCTATATTTTAGTTAGTCTGTGTTCTATTTAATCAAAATGTAGGAGATAATTTTGGGTAGGGAGCATGTCTGAATTCTACACTAAAACCAAATTGCTTCCAGTCATGGGCCTGTGTATGTCTAAATGTTCAAAATCTCACTGGGTGATTAAAAGTTGGTGCAATTAACAGTTAACGTTCGTCAGAATTTGGGACACACGAATGTAAACAATTTTTAACTGAGAAAGAAACCGCAGACACAGAATGCACAAACAAAACTCACCTCGGCAACCTCCTCCTTGGTGACATCGCCGTTCTTGTCCTCGCGTGGCAGCTTGCTCTTGTCTTTCTTGGAGAAGCTGATGGACCGGAAGGACCACTTCTTCTTCACCTTCTCTTTCTTCTCTTTCTTCGTCTTATCATCCTCTTTTTCCTTTTCCTCTGCTATCGCACTCTCTGCCTCAGGTGTCTGGGCTGCAGTCTCAATTTCGCCATCTGCTACCTGCTCAGACCCGTTGTGTATCACTTCCTCCTGGTACAGAGAAATTCACGACTTAGCACATATCACTTACTTTAATTAAGAGATATGATTTTCTCCGTAAATGCAGAATGTAAAATACAGAGGCAAAGCTCATGGCCCACCTTCACCTAGTCCTACAATAAGACGTGATAAACAGTTCATCATTTACTCCCTTTAACTTGTAAAAACCAGGACCTCTGTTAGTGAGTCTCATAACTCGCAATGCGTCACTTACTCTCTTAAAAGGCCAATCACTTCCTCCTGCAAGATGATAAAAAGTGCATGACCCCTCCCCCTTGTGAGGCTATCACATCCAATAAACTGTCAATCTCGAGCACAGGAAATGCACTTCTTTACATTGTCTTCCAGCTTCATAACCGTTGATTTTCGTCTAAACGTAACGCCGTCTTCCAAATTATTGCGTTTTCTCACCTGAATGTCTGTGGTCGAGAGCGTCGGAGCGCCGTTGGCCGCTGGCTTGTCACTTCCCCCTTCCTCGATATGCCCCAAGCGCCCGTCCAGGGGCTGCTGCTGCTCCTCTGCACCTTCTTTCTTGGGGGTCGTCGTGATATCCACAGAGCGCTTACTCTGACGGGCTCCCATCGTGCTCACTCACTGAAACAAGTGACAACACTACAGACAGCACTGCATGAGACACACTCATTCGTCACTGCGTCATCCTGACGTCATAAACTGCGAATTCTTTGTCATAACTCAGTTGTAAGATTCGCACACTTTTATGGCGCAAGTTGAAAGGAAGGAAAAGTCCTTGTTCAGAATTTAAAGTAAATCGCATGAAGCAATGCTTCTAGAATGGTCGTTCTTACGAATTTTGCTTCATGGTTTAATTTAACAACGCTCTATCGACTGAATATGATACATAATACATGATTGCGAATGAAGAATACGAAAAAGAAGCGGTTGTAATTATCTTCGTATACGGTATGCCTGGAATGACTGAGGATAACCACGAAATTCATCAGCTGTATCAGGTCTAAGGTGCGAGAATCGAATCCGACCCGCCCAATAGGAAATCAAAGTGCGTCTAATGACAGTTACTTTGAACGACCGACTGATTTCGAGATACTGGCACAGAACATGATTGGAGTAACTGAGAAACCCCGCAAATATTCTAGTATCACGGCCAAAATTCGAGGTTTCAAGACTATGGTCGTTATTTATGCTTCCACGCGACAATCCATATCTTAAAAAAATTGTTTCCTAGTCTACATCTTAGTAACGAACAAAGTTGGTTTTATCATAACAGCTCGTGATTAGAAATGGAAACCGTGGTTTCCTTCTCTATACAGTCATGACATGTGGTTACACGCCACACCCAATTACCCTCCCGCGCAGTATCTCCCAAGTCCAGGATTCCCCACACGACGGAGGGGGAACACACTACATTTACGATATATCGAACATAATTATATAACGACAAAGACAGATAATTTCCAGCAATTGCACAGTCGACTAATCGATATGTCGTCTAGAAAGTGTAATGCCTTTTACGTTTACACCACACATAAACATCCCAACGAAGATAAGTATGGGAGACGAAAGCCATCAGTGAGTTTTGCGAAAAATAAAACTCCATTAAGTCACCTCAACAAGCAAGAGAAGTCTTGGTTGGTACGTTTTTGGGCGGAAACCGGACATCGACCTACGTAAACAATTCATCACTCTGAGGGGTTCAGCTGGGCAACTATGAAGTTTGAAGAAAGCTGTACACCAATTACGTATTTTCCAAGTGCGTAGAAACGCTTGAAACAAACGTGCAACGGGGAAATCGTCTTTGTCCTCAGAGCCTTCTAAACTACTCATCAAAACCCGATATAATGGTATTAAGAGGTCTACACTACAAGTTGCGAAGCGAATTTTTGGTTCATATGGCTCAATGTACAATTTTCTAATTCTTCGCACGAAACTCAAGTCGAAAGTATGGATTTTATCGGTAACGGCGTTCAAGCGTAACGAAACGGGGAAAAAAGCATACAAAGTTTCATGACTCTAAGTACTATGGTTTTAGTTACAATTTATTTAAAACGCTGTAAATAGTTCATATCATTTCTTGTCCAATAAGCGAATGAGCTGGAAAGTTTGTGGTCCTGAGTAATATACGGTACTGTCACGGGATATGATTAAGGAAAGTTACGAAAATCCTGTCAGCATAGCCGATCTCCGGGCTGAGAACTACCCCCCCCCCCCCCCCACGAACACAAAGCAGTATTAACCTCTCAGTTGCGAGTGTAGGAAGTAACGAAACTTCATGGCTTCATTTGTTTCTTATTTTATTCTTTAAAAACAACAATTTCACCTGTTTAAACGGCATATTATTCTGAAATTTAAGATTTATTGCAAAGAGTTCTGTTGCGTTTAGCATGCATCCCCCGAGTTTTCCCCAGTAAGATGCGTCACAGTTCTTAATTTGAAGTTATTTATTACACTGAACAGTTGCTTACAACGTTAGTTACTGCCAAACTGGCGTAAATACGTTTTCCCCAAGTCAGATGGCTATTTTTCGTCAAAAAGAGCGACAATTTTAAATTTCTGGTTCTTACGACGCGAGTATAAAGATGGCTATCCTCTGGGATTACTGAGCCGTGTACTCTGATAATACAAGACGTTTCAGAGGTGCGTCCTGCCACCGTCATCAGGGGGTAACATGACGCAATATCCCAGAGGAAAGCCAACACAATACAAAGTGTACGGTGATCGGACGAAGTACGACGGCTGGTCGCGGGTTGGAATCTCCTGCGCTAGATAGTGCGACAGTCACATTAAGCCACATCTTTTCAGTTAAATGATAAGCGGGTGCCAACACAGAAACGCGGTCGTGTGTTACACCACAATCTTCGAAGAAATAATAGCCTCGTGACAAACCCACCGACACAGCAAACGCAACTGCCCGGACCACAATGGCGAAGGCCTCTCCGGGTTTAAGGAAGACCAAGAAGACAAAACGGAAAAAACCCAACCCTGTCTTCAAGTTAGCAACTGGATACTTAGGCTGCACATGCGAATAGGATTCAAGCTGGCGTTTCTAATAAAGTCATAGATCAGGCTAATGCCCACATTTGTGTGCAGGCGATCTTCCGCCATTCCTTCATTTTCTCTCCTCACACGACTCTCCACAACCCCACGATCAAGGTCATGGTAAATACGTCGAATACGACGAATGCAGACAGATGACAATCCACATCGCACGCGTACGCCTAGACTAGGCTCTGTTATGCAAGGACATTAACAGGCGGAAGAAACGCGCATGTTGAACCTCGTTATTCATTTCATTCTATCTTCATTTATCAATGGGTTATTTTACGACGCCATAACGAGTGCAGACTTTAAATAGCATCGATTTAGATGACAGGCGGGAGGGAACCCGTAAGAAAAAGCGATCGTAACCTGTAATAAGATTCTATCCAAGCGTTCTATTGGAGACACGAAGGAGAACCATGAACAGCGATAGCCAGACCGCTCCTGGAAAAAAAATCGAATAATCTTCGAATGCAATTCAGAGGCGTCTCGGTTGTGCCAACCCACTCCGCTCAAGTCTGTTGTATGTAAAATGTTGTAAGACGTTTACACGTGCGTCGCGTTATCAACGGAATTCAAGGAGTGCGCTGACTTGAAATAGTTCTCACCTGCTTCTAGAAAAATTATGTTTGCTCCGTTCACACAGCGACGTGCTGACGTTCAAACTTAGGCTTGACACTGACTTCATAGTCAACGGTTACCTAACTTAAATCACACTATTAAACGGATTGTTCCTTGGCTAAGAACATTCTCATGATGATCTTGGCATTAATGTACAAAGCAAGTGGTTTTGTTGCGTTCTCTACTGTCTACGTGTGTCTGTTTTTGAAGAAATAAAATTGACAGTGGAACCACGGTTCCGGAGAATTTGACGTAAATACGTCTATACAGAAAGGAAGTTTATATATTGGCTTTATTCTAAATATTTCCTTTATACATGCTTTACAATTGAGTAAAGTTTGATTAAGACATTGCTTATTTAACTTGAATTAGTTACGCTTAAGATGGGTCTGTCAATAAATTACGTCATCAACAATGTCAACTATAAACAAACTCGGCATTGTTGTGGAACACAACAATGCCGAGTACAACACAACAATGCCGAGTTTAGTGTCTTACTCAAGATTTTAAAACGCAACCCCCCCCCCCCGAAAGGGGGTTGGTCAAGTGTTTTAACCCTCCATTCGGGGGGTTTAGTTTAGTTTCTTACACAAGATTTTAAAACGTAACCAACCCACCCGAAGGGGTTGGTTGCTTTTTAAAAACTTGACCAACCCCTCCGAGGAGCTCCGAAAGGAGCGTTCTGCCCTAGTGTAATAAAATTTACTGTAATGAAATGTAATGTAACGTTTCCTAGGTAATAACAATGCCGAATAAACAGATGACATTTCTTGCGATTCCTACATTCACTTGTATGTTCAGCATTAGTTTTTGGTATTTTTTCGGGAACTCTAGGTTCATTATCTAATACTTCTATTTTTCTACGTTTTCTGTACTGTCTCATATATTCTGCGTTATGGAGTCTTTTAGCTTCAATCTCATCCATCTTGTACATAGTATGACGCATTAAATTAACGCAACAATAGATTTCTTAATAATTCTTATAAAAGATAAGTACCTGTGATATTGTAAAACGTTTTTACCCGCACAAAATTATTTAGTCCACGACGCACTTCTTCTACAAGCGATTCACAGCTCAGCTCTTTCCGCAATAACGAAAGCGGATTGTTGACGGCAGTAATGTAATACGACAATGCAGAGTAACATAACAATGCATACAAGCTGACCATTGTTGTCAGTCCATATTTACAAATTGTTATTTCCTAGGTAACCATCTTACACTTTTTTGCGGAATGACACTGGCCCTTCCATATAGACGTATTTACGTCAAAACAATAATCCACTGTACTGGCGTGATTTTATTTCTACTAACTTGGACAGCCCATTCAGTCCAAAATGAATCCGTTCCGTCAACAATTTTCCCCCCACCACCCGGGTAATTTCAGGTCCCTTCTCTCGACATGGCCAACAGTGCCCAATCCTTTACACCGAGCTTTCAAGAAAATAGACTAACTAGAACTGTTCGTACTTGATTTACTTTTAAACGATATGTATCGACACATTAGACACTGTGAATACACATTCTGCTATGACGAACTTTAAGTTGTCCCACTAGGATCACGAATAACTCTACTGTCGATATGACAATGCCTCCTGAAATTTAGCTGACATTAGGAAAGAACAAAGCCCGGCCGTTGACAAGACAAGACTCATGCAGAATACAGGACGGAAATCTGGAAAATGCACCACAAAGCAAAACAAAGAGAAACAAGGAAAAGTGGAAACTATTTCAGTGTATTGCATTCAGAATTAATTTCCAACTTGTGATATGAGTTGTAAATAAACAGGGTTTGTACCGCGCAATGTTAAACACCTCTCTAGAATGGGACGACGTTTAGGCCCCTTTGGATTCCATTGTAACCAGTGCAGTTGGTTCAATTTTTAACCATCAATCAACTACAGAATGATTCTCCCTCTGACAGCATTTCTTCGGAAGAGTTTTCACCTTGCAGTCACGG